TGTGGGATCTTAGCTCTCCAAGGATCGAACCCACAGCCCCTGCTTTGAAAGGAGGTCTTAACCACTGGACCACGGAGGAAGTCCTACAAAGCATTTTTAAAGGCCAAATGGGGGAAGGAGGAGCGTTGGACAGTTCTGATTGGTTGATGGTTAGGTAACAGGGCAGCATCACAAGGGTTAACATCATCAATCCTCAGGTGCCAGGTCTGGGGGCTACGTGTTCATCCACCTGGTGGGGGAAAGGTTGGCATCTGTAAAACAGCTCAGGAAATGTGCAGCAGATACTGTTATCTAGGTACTTCAGGGAGGAGCTAAAGCAAAGGATATGCGGGCGGGGCCTGTCCTAGGAAGGCCCCACAGTGTCCTGCCTGGTCACATGTCCAGTCGACTCAGACCTGAGCTTGGATCTGGCAGAGGGGGACGCCTGGGCCTCCACTGGATCCTCTCTCTTGAGGCTGCTCAACCCACACCCTGAGATGCTCCATCTTTCGGATCCTCAGATTTCAAGCTTTTTAAATGCTGGGATTCAGGATTCCAGATGGGAGGTCCCAAACTTTTTGAGTCCCATGAACGTCTTTCCTGAGTGGTCCAGGGCAGCCGTGCAGAGCTTGGGAGGGGTGGGGGTGCCTCCTGGCAGCTCGCTAGTCTATACTGCCTGAGTGGGGCTCAGGAAGAAGTACCCCAGTTTAGGGTGGAAGGAAACGGGCAGCGTCTAACCGCCTCCGTCGGGCAAGCGACAAGACTAATAGGATGTGGCATCTCTCTGCCCCTCTCTCTGTGCCTCGCCCACCCCTGTCTGGTGGTAAGTGACTGTTTTCTTGCCATCAGAGGAGAGAAGAGGCAAAAGGTGGGGGCTGAAGGAAATGGCTTCACTGCCCTCAGCCTTGCCTCCCTAGTCTGTGTAACAGGAACCAGAGTGGCTAGCGCTGGGGGGAAGACGAACGAGCACCCCAGATGATGAGGTCGTGAAACGACCCATCCAGAGTGGGGGGTTTATACCACGTTGTTTTCATTAGGGTACAATACACGTGTCCTAGCAAAGATGAAAGTCATTATCCTACCTGCCATAGATGGTGCTTACACTCTGCTCCTCTCCTTGTTACCTGTGAGGCTCTTTGAGTCACAGAGCCTCTGGGAACCGTGTGGGTTTCAGTCATACGGGTGAGGCCTACCCAGCTGCAGCCTGGTTGCAGGCTGCTGTGTCCCCGGTAAACTTCCCCTTGAAGCTCACAGTGTGGCAGGCCCCAGGGTCCTGGATTGCCTGAGACAGATGGGGACGAGGGATGGTCAGTGCTAATGCTGGGAACATTTGGGATGAGACGGTCAGCTTAGGCCCAGGCAGGGAGGGAGGTACTGGCTTTTCCCAGTGCTCCCTGTTGCATCCCGAACAGGCAGGGAGGTCTCTGCTCTCACACAGGTCTTTGCAGCTTCCCTAACGTGGGGAGGTAGGGAGGTCGCCACCTCTGTACCCTCCCTGAGTCAAGAGGCTTCCGCATATCCTCTGCTCCTCTGTCCGTAGCCCCCTGCTGGATGCCAGCATCAAGGGACCTTCCTGCAGCATCTCATTCCGTTCTCCTCTTTGAGACAATGCCGCCCATCTTACAGATGAGGAAACTGAGGCTCAGACTTGGTGAAGCAATCTGCTCAGGTTACACAGCAGCTCAGCGGTCTCTCTCCCACCCCAGGCTGCCTCTGTGTGCAGGGGCGGGTGCAGGGGGAGAGCCCACCTTGGGGACCACAACCTGGCCCCTTCCACGGTACCTCCCATCCTCCCCGACTCACCCAGGTACCTCCCTGACCCAGGGGCTGGTGGGCTGGGTCTTCTGTGTTTGTTTCTCCCTTTCTGCTTCCAGGAAGTGGCTGAGAGCTCGGCCTTCCAGGAACCGAGAACTACCCAAGTGGGGGCAGTGCCCAAGCTCATAGTTATGCAATATGTCCTAAATAGGGCCTCTTCCTAAAGTCCCCTGCCATCAGGAAAGTGGGGCCAAGATTAGGCCATGTACTCTTTCCTGAGGTGCAAAGAATGTCTGCCTCCCAAAGGCAAATTCAGAGGCAAAGAATGTGTGTGTGTGTGCACACACACCCTTGTATGACACCCTTATTTAGCACGAGCTGTGAGCTGGCATTTTTGAATTCATTCTCTCATTGCATTCTCCCCACAGCCCTATGAGATGGGTGGCATTTGTTGTTCCCATTTTACAGGTGATGAAACTGAGTCTCAGAAAGGCAAAGATCTGAGTCAAGGTGATTTCACTTGTAAGGGACAGAGCTGAGACTTGAACATCCTTTTGTTGGACCTCAAAATCTGTGCTCTCAATCTCGTGCCCTGCATAGCACCCAGTACAGAGAGCACCGACCTTTCTGGGTGTTACGGCCTTGAATCAGAACCAGATTCCTCCTGATTCTTTCTTTGCCCTCCCTCTCCTCACTGGGTCCCCAGTGGCAGGCACAAACCCACCAAGCTAAGCTGTGTTCCAAGCCTTTGCTCCTTCTGCCCTCTCAGCTAGGTTAGGTCTCTCCACAAAGCCTTCCTGAGTTCTCGCTAGCTTCAAATCTTGTCTCCGCAACTTGGCAGCTGTGTGTCTTTGGGCAAGTCGCTCTACCTCTCTGAGCTTCATCCCTCCTCAATAAAATGAGGATATCTGTGAGAGCCAGATGTGTCTGGTGCAAATATCATCATTTGGTTTAAGAAATTACTTTAAGATAAGATCAGACTGGCATTTTAGAAACCATCATAATTTTAACTAACATGTGAGAGTTTGGGTTGAGTCTGGAAGCAGAGGGTCTGTGAGTGAGTTATAGTCATTCAACAAATGATGAACAACTGCGCTCTGCTCTGAATTACGTGATGTACAAGGAAAGGTATTGAATAAATGAGAAAATAGTTTGAAAAAGTAGATAGAGGTGTCAATAAATATATACTGGAATCATGTTGCTGTACACCTTAAACTAACCCAACATTGTAAAATCAACTATACTCCAACTGAAAAAAAAAAAAAAAAAACACAGGAAAAGTATTGGAGATTATCCAGGCTCTGCTCCACTCTGGGATGAGCTGTTCGGTTTACTTCCAGGAAGGTAGATACTGGCTTTTCCCAGTGCTCCCTGTTGCATCCTGAACAGGCAGGGAGGTCTCTGCTCTCACACAGGTCTTTGCAGCTTCCCTAACGTGGGGAGGTAGGGAGGTCGCCACCTCTGTACCCTCCTGAGTCAGAGGCACCCCTCATCTCCTCTGCTCCTCTGTCCGTAGCCTCCTGCTGGGTGCCAGCATCAGGGGACCTTCCTGCAGCATTTCATTCCATTCTCCTCTTTGAGACAATGCCGCCCATCTTACAGATGAGGAAACTGAGGCTCAGACTTGGTGAAGCAATCTGCTCAGGTTACACAGCAGCTCAGCGTCTCTCCTCTGCCCTGGGCTGCCTCTGTGTGCAGGGGTGGGTTGGGGGGAAAGCCCATCTTGGGGATCACAACCTGGCCCCTTCCACAGTACCTTGGATTGCATATTGCTGAAGGGTGCTATGTCAGGGAATCAAGGAATCTCACCCCAAAACACAGCTGTTGGTCACCACAGGATTCTCAGCTGCAAGAGTTTGAATCCCACAAATACCAGCCATTGCCAGGGGGAGAATAAGAGGAGAGAGAGAAACCCAGGAGGCATGAGTGTTCACAAGGCCAAGAAGAAAGACCAATCAGAGGGCCAAAGGGAGAGGCACTGCCCTTTCTGGCTCCCTGGTCGGGAGGCTGAGGGGTGATACGAAGACAGTCGTCTTTGCTACCCTCAGGCAAATGAGATGACTGTCAGCTCACTGAGGACAGGCTGTTCACAACAGATTTGAGTTTTTCTCCTGGCCCCAGATAGAGCAGCAGATGGCTCTGGGCCCTTGAGGACTTACAGGATAGATTTACTGAAAGAACCAAAGTAGCTGATATTTGCAGGAGCTGGAGATGGGAGCAAAATGCTAAGGGCTTTGGAGGTATCACCTCATTTTATCCTCACAATAGTCTACGGGGTAGGTGCTATCATCCCCAACATGTAAGCAAGGACCTAGCCAAAGGGAACTGGATCAAGCCAACACATTGAGAAAGGATGAGAAGACTGAGAATCTGAGGGACAGGCCAGGGTTGTGTGGGATGGGAGCTAAGATAAGGGAAACTGGAACAGAGGGATGCAGAGAGGAATCAGCATCAGTCTCCAAGAGGCCTCAGAGGGCCAAACGAGCATCTTTATCCTGTCGTCCCGTGGTCACCAAACTCTTGCTCATGGACCCCATTGGTGGACAAGATAGGTACATTGATCTATTGATGAATTGTACACAGGTACTGCTGTGTTCATGAGACACTGTAAATGTGTACAGAAATAGAAGTTAAGTGACACAGAAGTTCATATAACTAGAAGATCTAATGTTACCTTTCTGCACCTCAGTCTTGTCCACACTGCACTGGGTCTTCACTGCTGCACATGGACTTTCTCTAGTTTTGGCCAATGGGGGCCTGCTCTCTAGTTGCGGGCACAGGCTTCTCGTTGTGGCGGCCTCTTCTGTTGCAGAGCACAGGCTCTGCGGCACGCAGGCTTCCGTAGATGTGGAGCGTGGGCTCTGTAGTTGTCGCTTGGGGCTCTGGGGCACAGGTTCAGCGGGTGTGGTGTGCAGGCTGAGGTGCCCAGTGGCACGTGGAGTCTTCCCAGACCAGGGATTGAACCTATGTCTCCTGCACTGGCAGGTGAATTCTTAACCACTGGACCACCAGAGAGGTCTGAGGAAACTATTAATACATTTCTGTGCACTGGGTCAAGGGAGTTGAAGAGCGCCCCCAGATGGAGTCAGTGGTGCTGGTAAGTAGTAATGGCTTCTGTGCCCCAGGCATGTGCTGGGTGGTGAGGATGCCCCAGACCAGGTGTGTTACCAGCTGTGGCTGCTCAGGGTCTCGGTCAAGGGCGCTTGGTGGGCCCAGGAGTGTAGCTATCCTGACGTCCCGTTGTCCATGTCCCCCCTCCAGGTGCCATGTCTCTGCAACTCCTGCTGCTGGTGGTCCTGCTGGGCCCTGGCAGCAGCCTCCAGCTGCAGGAGACCAGCAAGAACGAACCCGTGAAGGCCCCAGACCCACCACCAGGTGGTGACGGGAGAGACCTGGAAGACTATGATCCAGACTATGACTATATAGGACAAACGGACCCTCCAGAGATGCTTGACAGTAGCACCGAGGCCCCCAAGTTTCTGCCTATGGTGGCAACGCTGGGGCAGAGAGAGCCTGCAGGGCCTACGACACCTGAGTCATTCATTCTGGAGGTATCCACAAGGGACTCTGCTGTCCTGAGTGCCACCGGGGCAACCACCAAGAACCTGAGCACAGAACTGGTCACACTGGTCCCTCTGACCAGAGAACTGGTCGCTGAAATCCCTCCCAAAATGAAGGATCTATCCACAGAGTTGGCTGCAGTCACAGAGGCCCTGTCCACGGGCCCCACAGCCACAGAGGCCCTGTCCATGGGTCCCGTGGCCACAAAGTCCCTGTCCACGGACCCCACGGCCACAGAGGCCCTGTCCACGGAACCCGTGGCCACAGAGGCCCTGTCCATGGGTCCCGTGGCCACAGAGGCCCTGTCCACGGACCCCGCAGCCACAGAGGCCCTGTCCACGGACCCCGCAGCCACAGAGGCCCTGTCCACGGAACCCGCAGCCACAGAGGCCTTGTCCACGGAACACACAGCCACAGAGGCCTTGTCCACGGAACCCACAGCCACAGAGGCCCTGTCCACAGAACCTGCAGTCACAGAGGCCCTGTCCACGGAACCCAAAGTCATAGAGACTCTGTCCACAGAACTGGCCACCACAGCAGCCCCTTTCAGGGAGCCCACTACCATGTTGGCCCTGCCCACAGATCCAAGCACTGTGGAGGCCCTGCCCACGAGACCTGCTACCACAAGGGGCCTAACCACAGCCCTTCCTGTGGCCTCTGATACTCCCAAGGGCACCACTGTGGCAGCTGGCGACTGGTCGGAGGCCTTCACTGGGAACAAAGGTCAGAGCCTTTTCCCCTGGAGCTCTGTGGCCCCGGTCCTCCCAGAGAGCCTGCCAGACCCGGGCCCCGTGAAGCAGTGTCTGCTGGCCATCCTCATCCTGGCCCTGCTGGCCACCATCTTCCTCGTGTGCACCGTGGTGCTGGCCATCCGCCTCTCCCGCAAGAACCACCTGTACCCCGTGCGCGATTACTCCCCCAGCGAGATGGTCTGCATCTCGTCTCTGCTGCCCGAGGGGGGCGAGGGGCCTGCTCCCACGCCCAACGGAGACCTGCCCAAGGCCAAGAACCAGGGCCGGAAGGCGGGGCCGGGGGGCGACCGCGAAGGGGATGACCTCACCCTGCGCAGCTTCCTCCCTTAGCTCCTGGCTGCTGAGCCACAGCCCATGCCCACATGCCGAGGCGCTAAGCTGCGGGGGGGGCTTCCTTGGATACCCCTGGAGATGGGAATCTTCTGGGCGGGGACCCGGGCCGCCATCCACAGGACTGAGAGCAGCTGGGGTCCAGGCACTGAAGCAGGCCTGGCAAGCAGAACCTCCAGGAGAGGCTGCAGACAGCCCCTCCAGCTCCCTGCCCAGCCCCCGTGTGTCCCAGGCTCCCTCTAACGCCTCCCTTCCCCAGGAGGACTCAGAGTCAGTTCCCTGCCGCCATGCCCGCTAACGTTCCCTCCTGGTTGCTATGGTCACTGCACAGGAAGGGGGCACTCTGAACTGGATTCCTTAGTTCATTTCCTGTCGTTCCCCGCCCCCCTCATTTGGGGGTATCAGGAAACCCACAGTGAGTTGTGGGGGCTGGGCATATTCCTTAGGGGACTCTGTGAACCGCCACAGACTAACCCCATCCTGCCCTCCCTCGCCTCCCCCCAGGGCCTTGATTGAGGTGCTCACAGAGGTCTCCCAGGGCCCAGCTCAGGGTCCAGGATGGCGCAGATGCTCAGTAAATGTTTGGTGAACAAGTGATGGCTGAATGAATGCTTCAAGCTGCCTCCTTCAGGTGGGGGTGGGTCCTTCAGCTGTTCCCCCAGGCCCCTTAGGAAGCCCCCTGCACAGGCTGTTAGGGTTACTTCAGGGGGCACCTCGGTGTATCCTTGGGCGCTGGGGCAGGGGTTCAGGCTGTCGAGGGGCAGAGAATGCTGGCCCCAGGAACCATTTTGTCCGGTGCCCCACCCATGACACAGTTCAAGCCTGCAGAATTTGGTCCCCTGCACCCCGAATCTCTGCCAGATACCCTCTCCAAACATCAATGCCATGCTCCCCAGAAGCCCACCCTGACTTCTCTCTGTTCTGCATGAGGCTCATCTCCCCTTAACACCCAGTGGCCCCCTCCTCACAGGGGGAGCCTGGCTGCAACCCACAAGGCCTTCCTACAACTGACCGGCTGTCTTATAGTTTGAAGAAGTGAAATGAAGTCGCTTCAGTCATATCCGACTCTTTGCGACCCCCTGGACTGTAGCCCGCCAGGCTCCTCTGTCCATGGGATTCTCCAGGCAAGGATACTGGAGTGGGGTGCCATTTCCTTCTCCAGCACAGAGAGTCTGGGGCCCGGTAAACTCTTTCTTAAAGGGCAAGATCATAAATATCTTAGGTTTGACAGCCCACATGGTCTCTGTCGCATTTTCTCAACTCTGGCATCCTGGCATGAAGGCCGCGATTGACTGTGCGTCATGGATGAAGGGGTTTAGCCGAATTCTATTGAAACTTTGTTTACAAACAGGAAGCAGGCTGGGTCAGGCTCTATGTCAGCTTGTCCCTGACTTGAGTGTAGGGTGACCAGATGTCCTGAGACTTTCCTGGTTTCAGTACCAAAAGTCCTATATCAATGGGCTACAAGGCTTTCAGCTCCAGCAGATTAGGACCGCTAGTGGCCCTATTTAAGCATTGAAACCCACGTGGACCCCGAGGGTCAGGTCAGGACGCCAAAGGCTTAGAGAGGAGAAGGGTGTGGTTTACTTCCTGACATGGCTGAGCCGGGTTTCAGACTTTTGATCTTTGCTTCCTAACGCCTTTTAGTCATTTCCGGTGGCTCAGATGGTAAAGCGTCTGCCTGCAATGTGGGAGACCTGGGTTTGATCCCTGGGTTGGGAAGATCCCCTGGAGAAGGAAATGGCAACCCACTCCAGTACTCTTACCTGGAAAATTCCATGGACGGAGGGGCCTGGTAGGCTACAGTCCATAGGGTCGCAGAGTCGGACACAAAGCGACTTCACTAATGGCTCACTAATGTACATGGGGAAGGAAACACAACACACACTCGCTCTCTCTTCTACCTTCTAGAGCACTCATCTCAGGGGACTTTTTCTCTTCTAGAAAAATGCCTTCAAGGGCCTCTTTGGGAATTCAGGACCCCCTCCACTCCGTGGCATAACCTGCAGAGAAAGAATTCAAAAAGGTCGAATTGGGGCAGGGGAAGGGGGGAGGTGTTGGCTGCAACTCGGAGAGAGAGATTGGGGGAAAGGCAGGAGGAACGCAAAAAGCAACAGGGCCGTAGGGGACAGAGTCGGGGATAAGCACTGCCTGGTTCTGTCCTCCCCTGCCCCCTGCCGTTGAACCTCTAGAACACCTGTGATACACAGGAAGGTGTGTTCAGGCTGCTCTGGTGGGGGCGCTGGTGGAGCGGGGTATCCGCCACGGGCGGGGACAGCCAACCCTGGAGACGGCGGGCTCCTAAGAGAGCAACAGGGATTTCACTTCCCCTTTATCAGGGATCAGAAAAGTCAGCCGGTGGATTCCACATCACTGGGGTGGGGCCCCAGAGGCTGGAGGACTTGGGGGACATTTGAGCAGATACTCTGGGACTTTGCTACCGCATCCATCTTGGCGGGGAGAGGTCTCCGGATTCCCCTAAGGGCCCCGGGGAGCGCCTCTGCTCCCCGACGTTGGTTTTCCGTCTCTACCGGAAGAGGACCGCCTCCCTGCAGCCCTCTCTTCAAGGTGCAGGATTCGTCAGCAGCGGAGATGGAGAATGCTTGAAGATGCCACCAGGGGGCGCCCACCACCAGCTAGTGGAGCCAGGGGCAGCCTGGCGCTTCGCTTGGTCCAGTCTCGGAGGATGAAGGAAGGATGGAGCCAGGTCTGAGCTCCAAACCCAGTGGGGTGCTGGTATATACTTACCAACTGGTGGCTTGGTGCCCAAAGCACTATTTGCAGTGCTTGCCAATTTCTTTGCTGTAAATACTCCCATGACTGATGTTGAGCAACCAACCATTTATACAGTGAGTGAATGAGTGAGTGAGTGAAGTTGCTCAGTCGTGTCCGACTCTCTGCGACCCCATGTTCTGTAGCCTACCATGCTCCTCCATCCATGGGATTTTCCAGGCAAGAGTACTGGAGTGGGTTACCATTTCCTTCTCCAATTAGATCATAGAAAAAAATGTAAATAATGCCAATGGCGTAGATGTAGGATGTAGTAAGATCGTGAGGAAGTGATGAGTTTTAAGTATTGAAGACCTTAGTTTTTAAAATAATGTAATTTAATTTTATGTAACAGCTGGTTCAAATAATTCTGAAAATTTGACAACTGGATCTGAGACTGATAGGCTGCCTCCTGCATCCTAGTGTGTCCTTCCCCTTGTCCAGACCTCCCTTGCCCTTGAACATCACCCCATGAATTGCCCCATCCATCCACTGAGCAGGAATATCTGCCAAGTCTCCATGGATCCCCTCATACAGCCTATGAAGGAGGAACTAGGATTCTCCCCATTTTACAGAAGAGGAAACTGAGGCTCAGAGAAGTGCAGTCGCATGTCCCAGATCGTATATTGAGGATCTGAGATTGGAATCTAGGCTTGAGTCAGAAAGCTGAATTCTTACCACTAAGTCATGTGGTCCTTGAGATCATAGCGGGGTTCTGGGGGAATCCCGTGCCCCAAACTCCCATTCCTGCTGACCTGTCCTGGCGTCTGGAAGTCCCCCTCAGTCACCCTTTGTGGCTCCCAGTTGCTGAGAGAAGGCATTGGGACTTGTTAGTTAGTTGCTCAGTCATGTCCAGTTCTTTGCAGCCCCATGGACTGCAGCCTGCCAGACTCTCCTCTGTGCCTGGGGTTCTCCAGGCAAGAATATTGGAGTGGGTAGCCAATCCCTTTCCCGGGGGATCTTCCTGACCCAGGGATCGAACCTGGGTCTCCTTCATTGCAGGCAGATTCTTTGCTGTCTGAGGCACTAGTGAAGCCCCAGGATGACAAAGCTGAACCCAGCTTGCAGAAAGCAGGCACACAGCAGACCTGGGATGCAGGACAGAGAGAGGTGGCTGCAACAAGGCGCTGGCATTTCCTGGGCACTCAGTCTATGCCCAGCCCCACATCAAATGCTTTATCTGCCTGATCACATTCAGGTCTCACAACATCCCATGGGGTGAGGACAATTATTATTCCACTTCTCTGCTAGGGAAACTGAGATTCAGAAAGCTGGACCACTGGCTTCAGCAAGTTGCACTGCTGAGAACCCAGACTCCGCTGACTTCAGCTCTGGTAGGAAGGAAGGAAGGAGGGTAGACAGGAAATGGGGGACATGGGGTGGCATGCTAAATCTACTTTTGTCCCTTTGGAAGGGGGGCTGCCAGCCTTGCGGGTGCTTCATCCAGCAGTCAATCTGGACAAAGGCTCCCCAAACCCTCCTCCATACCCCACCCCTGCCTGGCACTCAGCCGAGTCTTACCCGATGCCTAAGCACAGGATATGTCCTCCATAAACCATAGTTTTTAGGATTATCAAATGCAGAAAAATGACTGGAAGGAAGTATACCAAATTGTTAAGAGAGATTAGCCACCAAGTGTGGGATTATAAGTGAATTTTATTTGGTTCTTTTGACTTTCCTATGTTTTCCTAATATTTTTCAATGGGCAGAACAAAATCACAAGTGTTTAGGAAGTCTGGGGGTCCCAGGTCTCCCCAGCTGGTGAGTAAAACCATCCATTCTTTAGCTATGAATGCCCACACAGGAAGGCTCTGAGCTGGTGGTCTTGACCCGGGGGCAACTTTGCCCCCCCAACAGGGGACATCTGGCAATGTCTGGAGATAAGCTGGTTGTCACGACTTGGGGGAGCATTGCTGGCATCTAGTAGGTTGTCAGGGACCCCGACAAACATCCCGCAGTGCACAGGCCAGTCCCCCGAGGCAAAGAAGGGTCTGGTCCAAATGTCAGTGGTCCTGAGGTGGAGAAATTCTGCTCTTTCCACTTGGCAGTGAGGGCCCCTTGGAGTTCCCCTTCTCAAAAGTGTTTGGAAACCCGAACTGTGTGGCCATGAACTTGATTGCTAAGCATCCTCTTGGTGGCTGGAAGCCTGTAGCCATAATTGCTCAGGCTTTTGCCCTCTGGGGACCCACAGAGCCAGCACCCCATGCCTAAGCCTGGCAAAATAAGGATGC